TTCTGATCTCTCAGAACCTGGCTAGGACCTGATTCTTCTAAATTGGAGGCAAAAGATAGCAACTCAGTAGACACAGCCACAGATGCAATCTATAAACCCAGAACAGCATATAGCATAGCTATTTCTGTCTTGGGCCTTTATCACTTCATCTTCTATTTAAAAATACTCCCAGTATTCATCTGCATACGAGCATCGAATACTTGTGAAACCATTAATATACTAAAAATTACAGTCAGCTCTCAAGAATCAGAGAGGAAGAGTGTATTATGATACCCAGGCTAATGAAAAAAAGTAAGACAGAATGGATACTGAGGAACAGAATCAGGACAGATATCACCCCCCCTTTTTTTTTTTTTTTTTTTTTTCCCCTTCAAAAGCGGCCAGATAAGACCTGGTAGGGCTGGTACCAAACAGGAGCTACAAAGCCCAGGCAAACAAGCCTAATGCTTATACAGCTCAGTGGTCTGTGGGCTCAGTAGTGTGTTAAGCAGAGCAAGATGCAGGGATGCCTGCATGCAGATCTAGGGCAAGCAAGTCAGGTCCAGCACAATTATTACTGTACACCGCGTGAAAGCAATTACAGTGCTTCCCGACCCGCTGACAGAGGAAGCAATACGGATACACCCATGGTCCTGGGCCTGGACCTCAACTGTCCAATGTAGAGCCACTGCATATGTCTCTACACTGGCTTTACAATCCACCTACAATGCCAATAAAAGACCCATGGATACCTGAGAGCTGTTTGTGTTCAGCAAAAGCCTTCCAGGATCTCCATAAGGCAGTAACTAAATGAATATCCCATCCTGGCTACTTTCGTTAAAAACAAATTACTTTTAAGAATGGTTACTTTTCTGAAATTAATAAAATGTAAATTATTTCAGGACAGAAGATACAGAATATAGTGTAACACTTCTGAAAAGAAAATAACAAGCAATATGAGATAAAGAAAAAAAATCCCGTTAACACCTCTTCAAAGAATTAAAAAAATATTATGGGATACATTTCAATAGTCTAAGGTACCCAATGCATTCTTGAAATGTTCATTGAGTCTACCAGTCGTTCTGGGAGTTAGGTGTTGTTATAAACACCCCCATTTACAAAGAAGGAAACAGAAACACACAAAGATTAAACACCTGATACAAAGCCATTGCAGTCACTGGAAAAGAATTCAGGAGGCATTGGATGAGAGCCTAAGTGATTGCTCAAGGCTGTAAGGAAGTCCATGGCACAGCTTTCAATACAGATCTTTTGTTCCCAGGCTATTGCAATATTAACTTCTTTTCTATTCAAGTAGAATTGGCTGTGATTAACATCGGGTGTTTAATGACCCCAAGAGGCCTCTGCATCAGTCCCATCTCATTTGACAACATTTACAGGGGCTCAGTCCTGTGGAATACACATAACAACATTAGCCTTCAGTTTAGTGTGAGCTGCTAAAAATCTGCTATGTCCCATCTTGTTTTCCATGGTAGATTCCCACCAATGTTATGTTTAATGTAGGGAATTTGCCGAGGTCAAAAGGCAACAGGGATCATTTATTCAGGAACCGTAAGCACATCTTGGGCTTCAGGACGCTGTTTTCATTGTAGAACTTGCTATAATATTATTTGGTAACACTGCTAATACTGACCAGAAACAAATCCAAATCCACCAAAAATCTGTCCAGCAAGTCGAGACCGGGCCACGCTTATTTAATAGGGTTTCCAGAAAAGCTGCTAAAGGAAGTTCCCAGAGCTGCCACTGCCTACTCAGGTCTACAGGCTCATTCTGGGAGAGCAAATCCATGGTGCTCCACGGAGACCCACTGATGCACCCAGCAGTCCAGGCAAGCACAAAGCTGCTGCCCACCAGCTGCGGAGGAGACAGAGCTCGTCTGGCTCCCAGGACCACCAGGAGATGTCCAATGTTGACTTCTGGTGCACAAGCAGGCAGTTGCTTCCGATTTCATCAAAAGCAGGGAATCTAATTAATAAGGTAGGACTTTCTCTATCCCTATGTACATACAGAATTAATGCCATCAATACAGACTATGAGAAAAACTAAGACAGAAAAATGAATACAAAAATATTAAATTACAAGAAAGACTATGCTTCTAATGGTATGCAAAACAGCTTATATATTTGAGAAAAGACAAACACTCACTGCAAGGAAGAGTATTTAGAATTGCTGTCTTTCTTCATGAAAAAGAGTATATGGGTTTATTTCACCTGGTCAGATAACTTTAACAAACACCTCATCACATCTATTCCCTTTCAGATTGTGTTTTAGCAGTGTACCATTTGCACCAAGCATGGAGAATTCTGAACCCGGAAAAGTCTCCTTTCCCTTTAATATCACACTCCCTCAAGAGTATACCATTATTTAAAATTCGATTCCTTCAATATGTATTTTTTTAAAAAGCACCCTCACAATCTGACAGGTAAAACCTCCAGAAAATAATTCTTCAGTGACAATGTTCCCAAAAGGAATCCAACTTCAACTAAAATTTGAATAATGTGAGCAGGAAGGAACTGGAAATGTACATTAATGAATAATTGTTCAATTCATGTGACAGGGATCATCCTCTACTAGAAATGACAGTTGCACTAGAACGATAAAACTGCAAAGCAGACTGTGAAATAGTGGTAGTCTCCAGCCAGGGTCAGCATGCAGGACACATTTTTAACTCGAATCTAAAAAGCCTTCAATCCATTTTCCTACCCAGCATCCTTCATGTAACACATCAATATGACCTATCTTTTCTGTCTTTTTGATTCAAAGCTTTTGTACAAGTAGTCATGAACCATGAAAAGTGGCCTGATTTGCAGTGATAATGAGGAAAACCCCAATTCCCACTAAAATCAAGATGAAATCGCCCTGGTATTTAAGGGACAGCCAAACTGCTTAGCACCAGAGTAGGCTGGAAGACAAGAATTTCTATTTACAAAAATATTCAAAGGTTTTCTCCCATATGAGTCATCTGCTTAGAAGATCACATTCAGTCCCCTCCTCTAGCCAGTTTGGGGTCCTTGTCACTTGGCTACACTCACTCAATCTGACCAAATAAATGTGTTTTCAAGAGAATCCCCACTCCAGAACTGTCAATTTCTGGTTGGTGAGGGCAGTCAGCAACAGGGCAGGGAGTCAAGTTTCTGCCCTGAGCCATGCAGAGAAATTACTGAGATTTTTTTTTTCTACCAGCTCAACATGTCTGAATTTAAGAAGCTGGGCTTGAGACCGCTTAGAGGGACTTTGGGCTTTGTGCCTCTTTAAAATATTTCCATTGGACATTTATTTGAGAGAATGTGTTTTTAAAATCTGATATGTAGAGAAGGAAAGTACTTATAGAAGAAAGTTTTGTCTTTGAAATCAAAGAAAATAAATCCTAGTACTGGCAGAGTAATAGTTCTCCACAGTGTAAGTATCAGGTTTGAGGATTCATCATGGTAGGGATAATGAAAGAATTTAACCCAACTTGTCTATCCAGGCCAGCTCCTGCAGATTTGCAAAGGCATGAGGGGTCATGAGCCTCCAGACCTCTCACTGACACCTTTTTCCTATATTTTGGTGTCTCACTGTGGCACAAATAACTATGGTTTCCTTCTAGCTGCTCTAAATAGGCAACATTTAGAGCGCAGCTGTATCAGCACAGAGGGTATGATAACGTCCAACAGTCAGGTGAAAGAGGAGACATATAGGAAGCAAAACTCTTAAAAGGCATATTCTGCAAAAGGACTAATAATATGAGACTACAGAGCTCTGGCAAACATGCAGTAGCAAACTAAAATCAGATGACTGAAGGTACCACATTTCTACTCAGCCTCTCTATCCATCTGATAGCTGATCCTGACAAAGCACGAGGGCATCTGATCTGCTAGTCAATCAGCTCCACAGCATGCCTGCTGCCAAATTCGTGGCAAACCTCCAAACGTGAGAGACCAAAAAAATAATAAAGCCATTTGCCCAGGTAATATAGCAAGCTAGAGTCAGCAAGTTAGTGCATAAGAACTACAATATGCCAAAAACCCCAAGTCAAGTGCCTTCATTTATCTACTCACACTGACTTTCTCAGATGAAAAGCCCATCTCTACCAAGCTTGTCAACCCTGAAAATAAAGCTGGCTCATTTGCACAGTGGTTTTGGGGGTAAACAGTGTAATTATAAGCCAGCCACTAACAAAACAGTCAGCAAAAGTTGCAAACAGCTGTATATGCACACTTACATATTACACATGTCAATCCTGGGAGGAGACAGCGGCAGTAGCTGCAGTAGGAGCTTTACCCCATTCTTCCATCCTTCCTCTTTCTCAAATTCACAGAAAAGGTAGGTACATTCATCCGCTGAGAACTGGTAGAAAGCATGAGTGTCTTGAAAATAGAGTTGTCTGTCCACTGTTAGAAAAAATAACATTAGGTAGTCTTTAAACCTTTACCATGTAAAGGTTCTGTGTCCCCACCACATTCTGTATTGCACTTGATTTTAATGCTGAGTTGCACCACCACACAGGACAAAAGGATCACAAACTCAGCATAGAAGCAATCCTGCCCTCTCATTTTAACTCAGTGCACCCAAACAGGACAACCCCAAAACCTCAATTTGAAGATCTCCAGGCTCCTGAAATTCAAGCATTAAGACTGCTGAGTACTTAATCAATTTTGGAATCAGTTCAGAATTAGGGGATAAAAACCTTCCACTTGTCAGGTTTCTGAGCCTCGATTTCCATTGGCTTCTAATCTCTTCCATTCTCACTAATGGCCAGGCACCAGTAAACAAAGTTCAATAATGGGGATGCAGCCCATCATTATCCCAGCTTCTCCTCAAATTCAGGGCTACTGGATTTGTAGACTAGACCTGGGTAAGATGATACACCAGTACAACAGCTGTCATCCTCCTGGCATAACCAGGATTGAACTGGGATCGAAGGACAGGGTCCAAAGCCAAAAGCACAAGCTCCTGCTGGGAAAGTCATTTAGCCCTTGTTGAGGCTGCATGATCAGACATACTGTCAGTGTAGCTGGAGCAGAAGAAAACCTTTAAGTATACTGCCAGCGTACATAAGCAGAAATCTTCCATAACACCTCACCTTTTCACAAGGAGGAAAGTTAATTGTCTAGCACAGACCCCAGGGCGGGGTATGCTCTGAGTTGAGCTACCTAAGTAGTCCCAGCTACAAAGTCAAGTCCATCAGATTTCCAGAGGTTGGCTACCGGTGTAATTATCACCAACCACATTAGCTGGACCAAACCCCTAAATTTGGTGGGGAAGGTGTGGACAGCCGGGTAGAACCTGGCATCACCACTGTCTCAAGGAGCTGAATCCTCTCTCAATCCATTGTAATCTAAAACTATGAAAAACAGAGAGAGGAAGGGAAAAATCACTAATAGCTAGAGAAGTCATCTGGCGAAGCCATGATCTGCAGTGACTAAAGAGCTGCTGTCTTGTGAAAAACCTAAAAGAGCTTGAGGAGAGGAAAAAAAAAAAGGCTGGAAAAGACACACACGCTGTCTGCAACTTGGTAATAGGCAATTACATTTGCAAAAGCAAAAGGAAGGAAATTGCCTAAAAAAAGAGATTAATCTTTGGTATTTATGAAATGAAAGGTTACAGAGGTGAGCCTACTGAAGAGATAGTAAAATAAACAACTGTCAAGAAAAATGGATCAATCTTTTTTTTTTTTCTTTCCCTCCTTCCTCTCCCATCAAAAATGTGAGTCTTATCCTGTGCAGGAGAAACTTGATAGCCTTCCTCACGCTAGAAGTACTATCAAGACTGACCTGATAATATAATGCCCATATCCAGGAGGAGCTGCCACACTCCCACTGCTGTAGATCTGCACTTAACAAAAGGGCACTGCTCCAAAAGCCAGTCTACCAGTTCCGATCCAACACAGCTTCTCCTGAAAATAAGCAAAACATCACTCCTTACACCACAGTAATGTTAAAATGCTCTTTTATAATAAAGAGGTATTTCTCAAAGCC